CTTACAAATCTGGCTAGACCAGAGCATGTACACGGGTACAGATAAAAGCTGGAAGCAGACAGAATCCAGGACACATAAACCCTTCAGGACCAATATAGAGAGTAGCCACATCAGGAGGGTAAGGGTAAGGTGGGAAATAGGGGGATGTAATCACAATGATCTACCTATAACCCCCTCTCAGGGGGATGCACAACAGAAAAGTGGGTGAAGGGAGACATAGGAGAGTGTAAGACATTAAAAAATAATAATCTATAAATTATCAAGGGCTAATGACGTAGGGAGGGAGGGTAAAAAATGAGAAGCTGATACCAACAGCTCAAGTAGAAAGAAAATGCTTTGAAAATGATGATGGCAACATATGTCCAAATGTGCTTGACACAATGGATGGATGGATGGATTGTGATAAGAGTTATACGACCCCCAAATAAAATGATTTAAAGAAAAATTCTCAATTCATAGTTAAAGAAAACCTTGATCATTCATAAAAGATATGTGAAACAACATTCATCACAGTGTTGTTCACATAGTAAAAATTGGAATGGGAGTCTGTGCATGAGTGTATTATGTTATATATATGTTTATTTTTAAAATGAGTAATCCATGCATAGAAAAAATACTGTAATGATACACATTTGAAAGTTCATGGTAGTAAGATTTGGTGAATCTTCTTCCCAACACTTCATTGTCCTTTCCACATTTTCCATAAAAAGCTTGAAATACTTTAGTAAATAAGAAAAAATGTTATGGTACATAAAGTAATTGATTTTTCTCAAAAATTTTGGCTACATATGAGACAAGGGATTAGTCTCTAAGATTTATAAACAACTTCAACATTTCAACAACTAAAAGACCAATAATCCAACCCTATAATGGGAAGAGGGCAGTAAGTCCAAAAGACTAATGGACCATACAAACCTTAGCTTCCATAACCCTGAAACCGTAAGAACTAGATAGTTCTCTGACAGGTCCTGGATAGTGAAGAAATAAAACATGGAATAAAACTCAACATAATAAAGACTCCCTGGCTGGCTGGATTCAAGAATTTCAAAAAACTATGGCCCTTGATCAAGCCTTGAATGGAACTCCCCACTGTGGCTCAATTTTCACTTCAAACAAAAGGCAAGTCTACACAGTAAGTAATAAATCACCAGGGAACTATACACTTCTTAGAACAATCAATTATCTAAGATCAAAAGGAGAGCATTTGCTCAAAGACAAATTTCAGAAAGCAAGAAGGGATTGGAAAGGACAAATGAAAATGAGAAACAGGGAGGAAAGGAGCTAACTGCTGTTACATTGTGTGGACTGGAATCAAAGGCATAAAACCAAATGTGTAGGATTAGTGAATGGAAGACTGATTTGCTCTATAAACTCAGTCAAATCAGAATATAAAGTAAATAATTACTTGATTGTCCTAAAATAATAGCTTTAATACATAGAAAATACAATGAGTTTTAAAATAGAAAATCATGCTTGATTCTAACCTCTTCTTGATCCAAATCTTTATCTGTAACATTTAATTCGGAGAGATCAACTGCAAGACTATCTTTTTCATTCTTCCACATATCATCAGGTTCTTTCTTTTTGTTTCCCACTGTGCTTAAATTAGCTTTATCAGGCAAAAGGTTTATTCCTCTTGGTATGGGAGGCACCGGCTTTGTCCCGTTTAGGCCTCGTCTGAAAGACGGTGATCTCACCAAAGCAGGTGCCAGTTGAACTGGAGGTTTCCCTTGAGAATTTTCTCCTGCATGGAAAAGATATGTTTTATTTCTTTCATTTTAATTTCAAAGAACAGGGAGTTAACATCAAAAATGTTTGCAATATATTGTTTTTAAGTAAAAAGCATATTTTATTAGAAATAATGAACAGTATCTAAAATGTGATAAAATTGAAGTATCAATAACTTCTAAGATAAAACTTCTTAAAATGTGGGTCTCTAGCCCATATGAGATAATTGAAGGTGGGGGTGGCAAAAAAAATTGGCAACAGAAAAAGTTTCTAAACATGCAACCACCAAATATTAATTAAAAAGCAAGTGCTTCTGGCAACACTTGACCATACTACAGATTTTGTGGGCAAAAAGGGGTTGCAAGGAGAAAACGTTTAAGAAGCCCTTTTCTAGATTCAGGATGTTTTAGGATGTCCCTAAAATTTAGGATGTTTCAGGATGTCTTAGGATGTCCTCAGGATGTCCCTGAGAGTTACAAACAGTTAAGCATTAACCATGTAGAAAACACAGGCATGGAAAAACTAAGAGACTAAAGGTTTAGTGCTAGGAGGAAGGGATGAGATTTGAAAAGATATTAAATTAGCTTTATGGTTGCATATTGGAGCACTGTTGTCATAGGGAAGTTTAGAGATAGAAGAACTATCTCAGATGCTGGAGATAGGAAAGCAGTGGCATAGAAGGGTTGCCTTTGCTACTACAGCTACCCCAAATGAATGATCAAATTTCATGATTTTAGAGTGTGCTATTGCTAAGTAAAGAATATTTTAGTTTATAACAAATATTAGAGAACAATTTAATATAATTTTAGCATATAATAAACATTCAATAAATAATAGTTGAATATGTGAATATTAAACATTCAATGTTATGCATATGAACAATATATTTGCAAAGCTAAACTTTGTTACTGGATTCTCAGGGAACATATGTGATTTATGTCTACTATAAAGTCAACATACAATATTATTGTCTAGTTCCAAAACAAAGAGAAAGATTTTGTAGTGATAATGATTTCAGATAGATTTTATGTTATACATCTGATCTATTCAACATACTGTTAAATATAGTCTTAAATATTTATTCACATAGGAAAAGAAAATATAATCTCCTGGTTTTAAAAGATCTGTCAACTCTATGTACTAACTCCATAATAACAATTCAAACATTCAAACAAATTTGAACAACAAAGTATATTGCTTTTTACCATCATGTCTACCTGTAGGGTCAGATGATTTTTGGCTGACAAGTTTTTTCTGTGGACTTGGCTTTGACAGTCCTTCAAAACTTTTAAGAGGCCAGGAATTTGAAAAATTAATGGAATTATCTTGACACTTCTTTGGAGATCCAGTAAGAGGAGTTGTGTGCTTTGGACTAGTTCGGGGTGATGAGAGAGGATAGGATGGAAGGATGAAGGCTCCTGAACTTGGATTTGGACCAGAGTATGAAAAAGTGTGCTCTGTTTGACTACCAAATGCTTGCTGCATCTTACTGCCAGAAGTTAGGCTAGCATACACTGTAACAAAAACAAAAGAAAACATGTTATGTATTTACTAAGGATTTTACAACTTATTTGCTTTTCATTCAAATTCCCATCTTATTTGGTACTTGTATTTTTGCTTATGTGAATCAAAGATTTAATTCTTTTCCCTCCCCCATATTGATAGCCCAATATTCCTAAAACCATTTTTAAAATTGATCCATCCTTTTGTGTTCTACGAAGTCCCCCAATATTTTTTCTTTCCTCCCCCCAAATATTTTTAAGTCAATCCATAGATACTCCTCATGAGATTCCATTAGCCTATTTATCTTTCCTTTCACCACAATCACAAAGTTTTATTTATCACTATTCTATCTGATACAAGGAGCCCTGGTGCACAGGAATTAAGTGCTAAGCCGGAATCCAAATGTCTGTGGTTCAAGTTTAATGGAGAAAGATATGCTGATCTGTTTGCTTAAAGATTTATGGCCTAGGAAAATATCAGGCAGTTCTATTCTACCTTACAGGGTTGTTATGAAGAGGAACAGGCTATATGACTATATATTTGTGTGTGTTTTTTAGGAATCAATTTGATGGTAATTAGTGTGGTATTTTGATTTAGTTATAGGACAAGTATCTGCTGTTTTGAGTTTTTATATTATGTTGGCTAATCTTTCACATAAATTTTAGAATCTACCTGTCAGGTTTCATAAACTAATCTATTGTGATTTGTGCTGGAATGAAATTGAATTTGCAGATTAATCTGTGAAGAAATGGCATTTTCCAATACTGAATCTACCAGTTTAAAATTATGGTATTTCATTTATTTGGGTGTTTTTATTTTTTTAAACTATTTTGTTTCATAATGAAAGCTAAATTAATTTTTGTTAGATTTTCAGCTATCTTATATATTTTGTTGATAATGTAACTTTGTATTGAAAATTACATTTTCTGTATATAGGTACTTTATTGACCTTTGGTAAATATTACACCTCAACATAAAAACAAAAAATCCTTATAACCAGATCATTAGGCAGCATCATGATAAATGGAAAAATAAAGACTGAAGTTGTCAAAGATTTCACTTCATTATTAGTCCCCAACCAATGCCCACTGAAGCAGCAATCAAGGCATCAATCGGATATGCCCTTGGGAAAAACAATTAACAGTACTTATATAGACCCCCGATGGGATACTAGAGTCTGTATTATTTTCCTAATCAGTCACTGTTGATCGAATTTCTATCTAGCCCTGGGTGATACATGCCAAGTACTATAGACAACTAAAACTTGACATTGGACTGTCCTTTTGAGGTGCACAAATCCTTCATGGGCCATCCCAGCAGGATTCAATTTGGAAATCCCACTAAGCAAACTGAACTTTACCTTATACACCTGTAGCAGATGAAAGGAACTGAAACACTCCCTTGGACTTAAGGCTATAAAATGGCCTAGTGTGGAAAGCAGCAAATGGCTACTATTTCCCAATGTTATGGATTTGGAAGTTTGTTCAAATCTCCTGCCTTGAGGATGCTCAACAATCGGCAATTTAAGACTACCATATATTTGCTATTCTCATACTCATTGTTTTTATATGACATGTCTTAGTCTAGCATGCATAGTTCTGTCTTAATAAGCGTTATTCAAAGTTTTGACCTATATCCAGTCTTCACTGTTTGCATAAATACTGTCTAGTCACTTAAGTTTTTAATCTGTACCACAACCCAAATATTTAAGTCTAAAATATACATGTATACTTTCTTTTTCTCATCAGTATTTTAAATTGTATACTAATGGCAAAATTAATGTTACTATTAATAGAATTATCATACGCTCCATGGGGATTATTTATGAGTCCCAAATGATAATGCTATCTCTAAAGTGGACCAGAGACATATATAAACCTTACTATGTATGCATGTATTTTGAGCTCACACTTAATCTTATGCCCTAATTCAAGTATAGTTAATTCACAAATGGGATCCTACTCAATACCTGTGCTCATGAAGAGATCACTAAGGTTTTGGGTGCTATAGCAAAACTTGGTGAAGAAAACATATGGTGCCTGGCTATCAGAAAGACTAGTATCAGAGGTCTTAAAAGCTTGTCTTAAAACAACCAGCCATCTAAATGAGGTGTCAGCTATGTCCACATAGAAGCATACCAGCGTATGTGACCCAAGGAATGTAAAGATAAAATTTAAGACTGGAGGAGAGAATTAAGTAATAAGAGCGCAAATTCCAAGCACCCAATTTGCTGAAGGCTATTGATGACAGTGAAAGCCCAAATCCCTTTTGCAGGGTCCTCATGTGGATTAAACCATTGGTGGATCCCCTCGACCACAGACTAGGGATGCGAATGGCCTGGATGTTAGAGTGTATTGGAAAGTGGATTACTGAAGCTTAATTAGGGTGAAATTTAACATCCTATTATTTGTTATGCCTTTTGTCCCGTCTTACATTTGTTTTAGTTCTTATTATTTTGCTTTATTCTCCTATTTTTGTGCTTTAGTTTGTTATTATTGTTGGTTTTGTATGTGTGTTACTATATATGAAATCCAGGACAGTTAAGCCTATAGAGACAATAACTACATTATTATTTTCTTAGGATTATGGCAGAGAAGGTTGGGGGAATTGAGGAGCTAATAATAATGAGTATAAGAATGAAGAAAATCTCCTAAAATTGATAGTGGTGATGATTGTACAACTCTTTTAAATTTGATTTTTAAATCTGAATTGTATGGCCTATGAATTATATGTCAATAAAATTGTTAAAATAAAACAATCAATGGGTATATATTCCAATCAGCAAAACTGCTGCAAAAGATGTCACCTTGAGGGCAAAGATGTGCCTACCAAAGCCCTAGTACTTTCAATTACCTCATATGCATGCAAAAGCTGGATAAATGATCAGGAACACCAAATAAGACTTGATGCCTTTCAAGTATGATATTGGGAAGGATATCAAATGTGCCAGAAGAACTAACAAATCTGAATCTAATGGTGCAATTTTGTATAAAGTACTTTGGACATGTTATAGGATCAACCAGTCCCTGAAGAAGTGCCCTTCTTCATGCTTGGTAACACTGAGTCAGGAAAAAAACAAAAACAAAAAACCCTCAACAAGATAGAGTGACACAGTGGATACAATTAAGTGTTCAGGCATCATAACAATTATGAGGCTGGTGCAGGACCAGGCAGTGTTTCGTTCTGCTGTACATATGTTCCTATGAGTTGGATCCCACTCAATAACATTGACAACATGTCTAGCAACCTTGCTGAATTCTACTAGATTTTCTTTTCTCCTTCTTAATGAAATTAGACCTTCTACACAGATATCTAATGATAATGATGATGAGACCTAATGTTTACTGAGCACTTACTATATGTCAAGGAGTGTTCAACGAACTCTCTATATAATGATTTATTTAATCCTTACAATAATCCTGTAAGGATAACAGTCCTATTTCACAAATTTGAAAAATAAAGGGGTTGATAACTTCTTAAAAGTCACATAGGTATGGAAGGGAACAGATCAAATGTAAGGATGCACATGGTAGACAACAGGGGAGGAGGTGGGGAAAGGGAACAAAAAAAAA